TTCCTACTTGGCGGGAGGGGTGGGGCAGGTAGGGCGGAGTGGTGGGGGGCGGCCCAAGGGGGTGGGAGAGGGTCCTGCCTATGCTGCGCCTGGGCTGGGACTGGTCCTGCCGGCGCAGGGTAGCAGGGAGCTCTCCACACACTCACCGGACCTGGGCTAGGACTGGGTCTGGGGGTTCCCGAAAGTCGGCAGAAATTCCTACTTGGCGGGAGGGGTGGGGGGCGGCCCGAGGGGGCGAGAGAGGGTCCGGCCCACGCTGCGCCTGGGGTGGGACTGGTCCCGCTGGCGCAGGGTAGCAGGAAGCTCTTGGTGGATCCTTTTGTAGAAATGTATCTCTGGCCCTTTTTGGGTTTTTTTGGCGGAACTGGGGATTGAACTCAGGCTCTCGTGCTTGCCAGGCAAGCGCTTATTCTACTGAGCTATCTCCTTGGCCCCCTTTTATAGAAATGTAAAACCACACATTTTCTTTTTTCCAGGTGAATCTCATCTTCTGTTGGTTGGAGATCCTGGCACCGGCAAATCTCAGTTCCTCAAATATGCAGCCAAGATTACTCCAAGATCTGTGCTGACTACAGGAATTGGATCTACCAGTGCAGGTATTTAATGTGACAGCGTCAAGCAGTTTGTTTACTAAGAAGGTACTGCTCTTTTTCTTTATGAAAAAGATACCTATAGGGTAAATTTTAAGTTAAGTCGTGAGCCTTACTGCCAAAATCGAAGGAAATACTTAATGTTACTTTTGTATTTCTGAGAAAATATTTTAAAAGTTCTAGCTTCACTTCTATTTTAGTTTTAAACAGTGCTATAATTTTTCTCATTGTATGTGATTACTTTTGTATCTATTTATACCACAACATGTACACATCATCTGGCATTTTATCAAAACCCAGCAAACAATACAGGAAAGCAAGTGGGGGCAGTTACTTTATATTAGCTAGACGGGAGAGCCATAGTGCAGTAGTGCGCCCCGTCCGCCTTAGGGCCTCCGCATCAGCCGCTCCCGGGCAGGCTCACCCCGGGGCATCCAGCCAGCACTGTCCTGCAGCCAGTGGCTTCCTGCTGAGTGTGGGCTCCTCGGCACATATGGCTACCGGTCCTCAGCTGGGCCGGTGGTAGCTTTCCGGGTAACGTAGGGGATTTGGGGAATTGCATTTTAAAAATGTGTTTCGATGCTGTTACATATTTTTAGTTTTGATTTGAGTAATATTCCTCCTAAAATGATGTGTGCTGGGTTCATACATTTTAAATATGTAATTTTATACTTTGTTAAGGGAACTAACTTCCATGGCCTACCCTCAAACTCCTAACCAGCTTATACTTTATAATTTGTCATCTAACAGAAAATGCTCCACAACTATTGGTTCTGTGTAAGTACTCTCTGCTGTTAGGATACAGATATGACCAGTCTGTAATAAATGGTGACAAGAAGGGATTTGCAAGTTGAGAGGTATTGACCAAGTTCAAATACTGGAAGAGAAATAGACAAGAATATATGCAGAACACTTCCTGTGCGTTTTAGAGTTGCTGTGACCCAGGGTTCTTGAGTTCTGGTAAAACGGCAACAGCAACAAGAAATGCTGACGTTTCCCAAGCGATTATAGGGCATGCTTCTTAAGTAAGTGCATGGAGCGTCCACAGACTACTTGGGACATTTCATCGTGAATGGCTGCCACTTCAGGCTAGTAGAGTAAGCTGTGTAATTGTAAAAATCTATTGTTGCTTTTCTTCCACCCACAGGACCAGGGTAGCCTTTGTCAGCCTCTGTATTGCAACTCAGTAGGAAGTTGTACTGTACACACAGAAACATGAAAGGGAGCTTTTTTTTTTTTCTTTTTTTTGTATTTTAGGGAAGGGTCTCCAGGGTGTTCAGGGTCTCACTACTAGATCAGACTCATAGTGATCTGCCTGTTTACAGCCTCCCAAGAGCTGGGATTACAGGCATGTGCCACCACACCCAGTCTCAATCGCCCTGTCATGCGCCCCGGGGTGGGGCTGGCATGGCAGGCCTGGGAATTGAACCCCGGCCCGTGTCTGCCTAAGCAGGCACTTTAATCCGCTGAGCTATTTGGCCAGCCTGTGAAAGGGAGCATTTTCATAACTGCTTATTTTATACCAGAGATTAGATAAAAAAACTCTGAAAACTGTTGCCAACTTTCTTGGTAAAACTAGAAACCTCTAGCTGTGAACCAGAACCCCCAGGTGACGCCGGGGTGTGAGAGCACGAGTGCACGGTGCTCCCTGGACTTCTTGGCCGTTTTCTGAGCGGCTCTCCCGTCCTCCTTCCAGCCCACTCACGTGTCTGCTCCTAGCAGGGTAACACGCGCCTGTTTAGATTCCCCAGATGAAACTTTACTGCTTTCAAGGAGGGAGGGACAGGCTGAAGCCTTTAAGCTCAGTGACCATGAAGCTAAATGGGAAGAGAACATGCTTCTTCCTTCATTGTTAAAATCTGAATCTTTTTGTCACAGTCTAAAGTTGTCTTATATAGCCATAAAATTAAGATCGAGGTAATGAGCCAGGCGTAGTGGTACACATCTGTAATCCCAGTGCTTGGGAAGCTAAGGCAGGAGGATCACTCTGAGTTTAAGGCCATCCTAGGCTAGTGAGTTTAAGGCCAGCCTGAGCTACACAGTAGGACCCTGTCTCAAAAACCCAAAAGGAATCATTTTAAGTCCCAAACCTCCTCTATGAAAAATGGTTTTTTACAAACTAATATAAAAGCCTACTTGGTGTAACTACAGTGAGCTTTATAAATTAATTAGAATAAAAATTCAGCAGTGAATTGCTTTACTTGATTTGGGTTATTTTTTATTTCTAACAAGCACATATATCTTGTTCCTGCCATATTAATCATTGAGTTCTTTCTTGGAAAGTGTTTTTATTTTCACTTTGCTATTTTAACATTTTAATTGCAGTCCAAAAAAAAAAATGGATTTTCTTTATAAACTTTAACCCTTAGAGATATTTACTTTTAAAACCTATGAACTGTGGTGTATTAAAGTGTAATATCAAAACTTTGCTTCACTAATTTTAGAATGACAGGAAAATAGATGCAACTTGAGTCTGCATTTAGACAAATGCCTTTTCCTTACAATGAAAGCCTTAGAAGTACTGTATAAGTTTCAGATGTGAAGGCGCTGCTTACCTACATGATGTAGCTGCATCATGCCAGCAAGAGCGAGGTGAATGCATCCTGCCCTGCATGCAGCGGCACCTGAGACACTCTTCAGAGGGAACGCCTCTCTCTCACCGCAGAAAGTCCTTCTGGTGCAGTGAATGATGTCCTCTAAACACTGCTGTTCAGAAACATTCTGGGGAGGCTGTCTCGGAGATGCCCGCCTCTCATGCCGGGGCAGGCATGCCTTTCAAAATGCAGTATTTATATACTGCAGGGGCTCTATCATCACAACTTTTAAAGTTTAGAGTTTTTTTATGAATTAACTGAGTAGGTTTGATCCATTACAATCCCCTATTCTTAAAACAAGAGTTCCTATGTGCTCATAAATTGAAATAATAGGACAGTACTGATTTACAGCACATGTGCTCTGATAGCCTACACTGTTACAAAAACCACAGCCAGCAGGCCTTAGAAATCATTAGCCACATTTGCTATCTAATTGTAGAAATGCTACCCAGGAGCATGAGCAGCAGTAGTAGCCACAAGATGCTTTATTTTGGGGAGGCCTAGAACTGAGCCCTAAAATTATTGGTAGCACAGAGCTGACTGTAAATTTCCTTTTTAAGGGCATCCTTTCAAGTAGAAATCTGCTCCTGAAGTCAAAACCCGACTTTGTTTTCACAGGAAGAAGCCCTTTAGTAGAAGTGAAACTTTGTTCATACCAATAAAACAGCGGTCCAAAGATTACTGTCCAGGAGCTTTACAATCTACTCAAAAGATTCATATTTTTTATAAGTGCTTTAATTACATATAAAGGAGAAGAAAATAATATATATACTTTAATTCAGATTAGTTTCAGAACAAATAAAATAACGCATTAGAGAAAAAATTACTTAAAAATAGTTGTATTTATATTCCACAATTTGCTCAAATACTGGTTTTCTTACAAACTTTCTACAGGATGAAATTCTTCACATTGTGTCTTGACTATGTACTTATGGAATTTCAGGGAAATAGTTCTGTTTGTAATAGCTTAATCTGTACTAAAGGGATGGCGGGTGGTCACATGCAGTCCATGTGGGATTCTAACATGACGTTCAGCGAGTTTTCTGATGTGGACCACCCCTTTGACGCTGAAGGTAAAGCATCCGTTGACAGAAGTGACTGTAGATTTGGATTACTGCTCTCTGCATCTTCCAGTTTTTCTGTGTTATCTTCCCAATTAATGTGAAATCTTGTAACCCTGGGATTAGATGCCAAAATATTTCTTTGAAGCTAGAGGAAAGAAATGTATAAATGGTAAATATTAGGAAAGTTGCATCACCACATGCAAACAGAAGCCTAACGAAATGACTCTTGATGTTCTCCTGAAGGGCTCCATTCACAAAGGTACGAGCACTTCTGAATATAGCCAATAATCATGAACAGCAAAGAAATTATTTCCACAAAGTGGAGGGGCCTGCCCCATAGCTCAACTCTGGAAGTGGCTCCTTCAACAAAGCAGTCAAGCTCAGCTTGTTGTGGTTCCATCCCCACAACTCAAGCCAGCCAAACCTGCCCTGAAGGCACTCAGAGAAAAAAAAAAAAAAAAAAAATCCTTCAACAAAAACGGAAACCAGACAGTGAGGCAGTTCACCAAGGGATTGCACAATCCAACCCCTAAACAGGAAAAGTTTTTGTCTTAAAGATGTTTCAGAGGATGCTTTAATTCAACAGTGTTCAAGAAAAACAAGCAATTTCCTCAACTGCAACTCCTCATTATTAGTGGCCTTCCACCTTTTAGGTATAATGGTTTATTCTCAGAAATAGTCTCCAGTTCTCTTTTCTGGTTCTCACAGTGGCCACACATGTAACTGAGAAGCTGGACCAAGAGAAGGCCGTGCACACAGGGTGGAAAGCATTCCCATTTGAGCACCTGAAGGGAGAACTCTTCTACTGCCATGGATTTTCCTGCATGGTCTGGCAGACAGAATACCATATTCAACCTCATTTTCTCTGCACCCTTTCAAGATCCACTCCAAATGGAAAATCATAAGATACTCAATATCTCTTGAGGACAGGGCATCAGAATTTTGTTTTTTAGAATTTAACCTGCTTAGCATCATTAGAAATAATTAAGACCTTTAGTTTAATCTCTAAGATTAGTAGATAAAACAAAGCATGTAAGGATACAAGAATAGCAGCATTGGCAGGGGAGACAGCTGAGTGGCATAAGCACCTGCCTGGCAAGTGCAAGGTCCTGAGTTTGATCCCCAGTACCGCAAAACAGCAACAGTCATGTGAAAAACAAGCACAAAACTCTCAACAATTTTAGTAGTTTGGACAAACACACAGACTAGTCCCTGCAGCAGACAGGAGCTTGCACACCAAAGGCTGAGGGGGGGAAATGCCACACTGAGGGTGCAGAGGCTTCTTGGACAGGCTGTCTGCCCAGTGTTACCATGAAGCAGCAGGGCTGGTGGCTGTCCACGAGTGGAACAAGGCCTTCCCTGCCCCAGGAGCACCAGGGCTTCTAATCTGTTTCGTCTCAGCCTTTTACCTGGTGACCTGTGAAACAACTGCCTAAAACACTGTGTAGTACACGTCATTAAAAAGGAACATTACCTTAGAAAAGTCTGGTTTTACTGGTGGATTTTCCCTTAATTCTGTCTCAGTATATTCATTATTTACATAATAGCCGACTCTGATAAATTCTTGGCCTCGATAGGTGCAAGTAATGAGCACCACGGTGACGCCAACTGCATCTGCATCTGGAATGAGTCCGGGGTTGGGCGCATCAGCCTAGGGAGAGTAAACACAGGGCAGTTACTGCAGGTCCCCCCAGAGGGGCACCAGCACAGAGTGTGAGCCTGCGCAGTTGGCTTCTCCACATCTGAGCTCCTTGGCACTGGGTGCCTTACTCTACTCCAGACGGCAGGCAGGGGGACACGCTCCTTGTTATAAAACCTTTTATAAAGATTGTAAGCACATCTACAGTCTTATTCGTTCTTCTCCTGACTTTCACACTTAAATTAAGCAATCTTCAGTTACCAGAGCACAGCCATGTGTTGACAGCCGATGTTTAACTGCAGTGCTCTTCTCTGCTGCCCAGGACATGTACAGTCTCAGACCCATTCCACTACCCCCGCAGACACACTAACACGAAATGAGTATAAAACTGGAGAGTAAAGAACTATGCAACAGCCTAAAAGATCCTCTCTGAGAACACTCTGCTAGGCACTGTAAGGTAGTGTGCTGCTCAGCCCACCCTCACTGGTGGAGATTACGCCTTTGATCTGAACCTTGAGGAGATGCAGCAGGTGAAGCACAGATAGCAAAGAACCAGAAGTAAAGGGCACAGACAGGAAAGTCTGGCTATGGCCTGGGGCAGCCACTCCTCTGTCTGCTATGGCCAGACGCCACTGCCATCTTGGCCTCGGTGAACACCAGCCAAAAGCTTAGCGGGGAGCATTTCAGATAAGGCATGAATGACACAAAAAGGCGCAGGATATACCCCACCCTTGCTCTCTGCTTTCTCTGTCTCACCATTCTCTTGCCTCTCTTCTCAGAGCCGAATTCCTCTCCCTGGAGTGTTGGTAAAACTAACAATATCCTACCCATAGCCTGCTGTCACAAGTAACATCTAAACAGATCTGTTCAGGCTTCCTTGCTAGACTTTTATACTTTGTCTAGGCAAGGCGTTCCATCCGGGTATCTTTATGCCTATTTTAAAAATCTTAGATGCTTATTCCCATTTCTGAAAGATACAAATCTCAGTTCTAAAGCCCTTCTCATCACTGTTCCAGAAGTGCGCATTACACAAAAAAAGGCCCATATTTTTCCACCTCTGTGCCTTGAATGTACTGCTTCTTCCCTTCTATCGTGAAAAATTCATCTTTTGAAATCTGCATCACTGCCTCCTTGGCAAGGCCAACTCTAACACAGAAGGTACAATCAGAAGCTTCCTGTTTTATGTCTCTGTTGCTTGACACACCCTCTAGCAGTGTGTGCCAGCATCCCAAGCCCGTCTGTACGTCAAGCCTCCCCGCTAGACTAGTACACTTTATTCAGGGCAGGCGCTCCAGTCAGTTATCCATGTTACCTGATGTTTGATGCAGCTATGAACATTTGTTTGGGTTTTGAAGTTTACTCCTATGCAGTGCCTGTCCTGAAGGGGTTTGTGATCTCTCTGCAGACATACGAGGGTGGGGCCAGAACGTCCTGGAGAATGTGCGTTTGTCCTGGGTCCCGGCAGGATACCCACAGGAGTCTTAGGTACCCGGAAGTGGTAGGGGTGGGAAACAGGTCCCTAGTGCTGTGGGCTCCCCTCAGAGCCCCCCACTCGGTGCACCGGTACATCCTGAGCAGATGCAAGTAGAAGAATGCGCATGTCCTTCACGGGGACGCAGTGCAGCCTGGAGATGGGCAAATCTGCCGGCTTTGAGGAGCACCACCAGGCAGTGGTCTGGACATCTTCCTGCTGGCCTCTGACCACTTGTGAGAAAGGCATGTTTATTCTGAGGTAGAATCATGGCAGGACCAAGAGCGCACTAAGTACTAAGGCACAAAACAGCAACTGTATGATAGGCCAGTGGTGGCGCTTAGGCCGCTTGTGTTCCTGAGAGTCTACGAAGCTCACCATCACTGCCTCAGGCATTTTCTGTTGATGCTGGTGAACTCTGAAATGCGTGGCTAAGCACGTGACCCAGGTCACAAGTCCTCCTGTGCTTTCTGTTCTCCCCAGCACCATGTACATGGATACCAATGGAAAGCTGCCTACCACTGGAAGGTAGTATTTGCTAACCAGCTTTACTGCCACAGGACTGTAAGACAGCAGTTAGGGCAGTGCTCTTACCATAAACAGGACAGATGCACAAGGGTTTATTTCAAAACCAAGGCGTTTATTAGTCTTCACAGGAACATAAAGGTATGTACTGGGCCCCTATGCACCCAGAGTTTATTACGTCACAATTATCATCAGTAAGATCTGTCTTCCCAGGCTGAAAACGAGGAAAATTCTGCCTTTTTATACAACAGTTTCAAGAAGCTGAGAATAAAAAATTTCTAATTATGGTATAATTTATACTAAGGACTTTATTCTTACATGGCAGGAATTGACCCATATTCTCTTAGAGTGGGGACAAGAAGCTGCACAGGGAAGCCACGTGTCTAGTACACAGGCTGGGGTCAGCCCCAGGTCTGTGCCATGGGGCTTCCTCCTGCAGCACAGGCATCCTGTCACCTGGTCTCAAACAACTCAGGTGATAACATCTGTAGCTAATATAGTTGAGCATTCTAATTAGCACCTTTGGAGCTGTTTTCATTAGAGGCACTAGGTTATCTTGCGCTTCCTAGTGAAAATGAGTAAGGCGTTCGGACCAGGACTCCGAGTTCTGTGCTGGGCTGGCATCACAGACTGACCCTCCGCCCCTTCCAAGGATGGTTGGCAGGCAGGATTCTGTTAAACTGGGCCCATCTGCCCAGTGAAGAAACAGGCAGAAGTCAGATTCTTCTTTGTGGATTAAGCCTGCTCAGCTGGCATTTGTGGTAGGAATACGTGTAATGATAAATACTGTCAGTGGTATCTGAGAATAGTTCGTATTCGATTCTTCCCCTAGTGAGGTGGTGGATAACCGCAGCAGTCCCCTATCATGTGTGTAGGTTGGATGCTTTAGTAACTGTTGCACCTCCATTCTAGTGACCCAGAATCACAGTTGCCAGCTAACATGCCTGGTAATCTCGCTCAATTCCTGAGGAAGCTGAACTATAGCTGTTTTGGTTGTATCGTCACTCCTAGTGATTGAAACCTTACGGTGAAGCTGCGTACTGGTGATCGGTAGTCATTTTCCTGCCGCTATGTAACCCTAACGACAGGGTTACACCACATGGTAAAACATGCCTTGAATCTGTACTTTGGGCTACTCAAGAGCCATGTGGAGACGTGGCCAGAAGTTACCAGCACGTGTTCCCTGCTTGATACAGCTGAAGGCTTGCCGTATGCTGTGTGTGCACAGAACACAACACTAACATCTCTCAGCACACAGAGCCAAGAATCTAGCCCCTGTGAGACAGAGACTGCCTGAAACACAGCAGAAGCAGATCCGAGTGTTCAGGCGGGAGTGATTTAACACAGAAGGAAATGGACAGGACCCACAAGACGGCAAATCGTCTTTAGGAATGTATTTGACACGTTTATCAAGACCCATCTTACCTGAAATACAAACATGTGTCTTCCTGCAGGAACCGGGCCCACTAAGACAGAGTCCAAAACTTGATCATACTCTTCACTTTCTGCAGAGCCCACATAGATAATTTTCCACTCCAAATCTAGAGTTAAAAAGCAGAACATTATTTCAGATCAGTAATTACACAACTAGATGTGCCCCTTCATGTTAATGTACCTTTTAACCATTTACTGGCTATTAGATGGCTCCTCACAGCAGAAAATCCAGACAGGCACATAAGTGCTCCTTAAAAAGTTTTTATCAGAGTTAAAATGCTATCAGCAGTCCTGGGGTTCATTTCCATTTGAGTATTCTGAGACCTTTTTCTCTTTTGTCTTTTTGAGATGGGGTCTCTATGCAGTTCAGCCTGGCCTTGAACTCACTTTGTAGCCCAGACTAGCTGGCCTCAACTCACAATAACGAATGCTGGGATTATAGGCGTGTGCCGCCACGCCTGGCCCGAGAACTTGCCTAGTAAAGGAGTCGGGAACATCCATGCAGAGTTCCCTGCCTATCTGTGGCGCCAGCCCACCGCATTTTAACAACTCCTTCAACGCACATTAGGAGCGCTCCCAAGCAGGAAAACCTCCGGCCGAGCTGCCTAGTGCTCACCAGTCGGGGGCTGCAGCTTATCAGGTGAAGCAGTGCTGCGACACCGTCGCTGCCTCTCGGAGCTGAGACCACAGACCAAGACAGTCTTGCTAACAGTCGTTCGCACGTGGGGACGCGCGTGACTTTCTCTACTCGATGGGGCTTCTCTCGGCGCCCCTCATGGCACATTCTTTAATTTGAAACAAGAGCCCAAGATCCTTTTACCCTTGATATGCATTCATAAAGATGGGAATGAGCAGGGAAAGACACTGTGAAACCTAAGTTGGCATGCAACTGATCGCGCACCTTCCACAGCATTTTCTGGGGGGCAGAGAGGAACGACACTGTGGCCAGGTGGAAGACAAACCACAGAGCACTAATGTTCTCTAGACTTCTTATCCCCAGAGGGAACTGGGACAGTGGCTGGCCAGGCTCCCACAGGTGGGCTTGGGATCCTGTGTGGAGGAAGTGGAGAAGCAGTGCAGGTACTGCAGCATTTCTCACTCACCAACTTACTGAGCTGGAAGTTAGGTTTTTACTTCCTCTAAAAGTCAGGAGTGACATTCCTGAGGGCCTGTCACTTCATGGCTCTGTCCTAGACTAAGACCACTTCTATTTCCAGCTTTTACCCCATTTCCTGATGCAGCTTCCTGCCTCTGGCATCTCACAGGGTCACCACTGTGTGGATGGGGGTGGGAAAGCGGCCTTGCGGGCCTCAGTCAGAAGGCAGAGCATCCGTGCGTTGCATGTTAAGTGAAGCAGGGGAAGGGGCTGCCAGGACTGGAGCAGAACGAGAAGGGGAGGAGGGGCGCAGCCAGGTCCTGCCCAGCTCTGGAGGCCAGCAAGGTCCGTTCACACCAAGTGGCAGGGCTGCCCTGAAGTATTTGCTCTCCCTCTCTAGGCGGGATGAGCCATACGGCCTTATGCACACCAGGCCACGACTGCCACTGAGGCTCAGCCCTGGTCTCCTCGGCGCTGGAGCAGCAGGGTCCAGCCCTCCACAGAGAGGTGCTCAGGAAACGTGGGAAGCTAAGGAAACCCACCAGAGGGGATGCAATGGCTGAGGTTTGAAGTTAGGATGTACTGCACCAGGACCACACGTGTCCCTAAATTCTAAGGACAGCAGCAGCAGCAGCAGCAGCCTGGCTTCTGCAGGGCTAAGGGGAGGAGGTGATGGAGCCAGTGCTGCTGCAGGCCTGTGTGAGGTGTCTGCCAGCTGTTTAGGGGAGAAGCTGGGCAGTGCCAGGGAGGTGTGGAACTGCCTGAACTGCCCATGACAGCCGGGCTTCCTGGGGAGTTAAAGGCCAAGACAAATATGCAGTAGCTGTTTTAAGAAAGGGCTGGAATTGCCACAGAGGTATTCATAATACGTTGTTTACTTTTAAAGTATCTTGCCACATCTATAATACTCTCGGACTCCTAACACTGTGAACTATCACAGGAATGTAGCCAGACTTACACTTACTTTGAAAAGCTACCAAGGCTGGGCCTTGGTCCGGCCACTGTACACTTGTCAGCCCTCGCTGGCTTTTGAATATGCATGTGATTACACAACACTCACATTAAGGTCACACACAGTGTGCAAACAAAGTTCAAGCTCTGCGAGCTTAACTACTCTACCCAGATGCACGCGGCTCACATACTCCTCAGTCAGAACTGCAGCTGTTCAGCTGCAGCACCAGCACCTGTGACTGGAAGAGAACTCAACAGTGGACTAAGGAAACTTAACCCGGGGGGCGGGCTTCCAGAGAACAGCCGCAATGGAGCGGTAATCTTACCTTAACAAGTACGTGCTGTGACTCAAGAACACCTGCACATCGATCTTATGCCATGGGATGTGTGTAGTAGCTGTTGGGTTCCAAATGGTCAGTGCCATTTTGAATTAGTATCAGTTCTTTTATTGTACTTAATTTCTGTGGCACTGGGAATTGAACTGCTCCTCTGCACCGAGCAATGTCCCCGTCCCCCTTAAACTGTTACTGTGAGGGAGTCTTGGTAAATGGCTATCTTGCAACCCTCCTGCCTCAGCTTCCCAGAGAGCCAAGTTTCCAAGTGTATGCCAACATGCCCAGCTATTTTTTTTAACCTAGGTTTTATTCCCTGGCTCCTTATACTCCAAGGAAAGGATAACGTTTCACACAGGTTACCACTAAAGATGTTAAGTTAATCCATTTAATCAAGGCTTTCCCAGCCTTTAAAGTACAGTATCTCCACTTGTGGTGGAGGTAGGTGAGGGAAGCCATCAAGGGAATCTGAAGTTGATCACACTGGTGGAAGGACCACTGGCCAAGGCGCAAGTATCTGAGGACAAAGCACATGTGCCATTCTGGTGCACAGGGAACATTCACATCGGTGCTCCTCGCCTAAGTGGCACCAAGCCTCTGTAGGACTGGTGACCCCGGAGAAGGCCTAAGTTTCAACCCTCTATTTTTAAGGCTGTTCTCCTCCCCAATAGAAATCTTACTTTAGAAACAACCTAATTAACTTAAGGACATATACTTCTAAAGCTTTCTCCATGGGGCAGGCAGCTTTAAGGAAAGTGAAAATACTTGGAGACTACTAAGTTATGCAAAATGGTGGCTGAGCTGTGGTTTGGGGCTTGAGATAGAATAGCTTAAAGATGAAAACTCTGAATAGTCTGTAATTTTAGCAGTAGAGTTTTCTTAAAGAACCATAATACAGAGGTATGAAACCTCTCGGGACCCTTTGCTAGGCAAATTCGAGTTCCTTAATCCACACAGCCTCTAGGTGGAGCACAGAGGCATAGCACCTTTTAAAGACTCCTTTGCAGTTTTGGAATGACTCAGCTTAAAGTATTTTAAAAAGTACTAAATGCCCAGGGATGGTGTCCTGGGTGAGGTGTCATCCCTGGACGTAGGTGCATCCCTGACCTTCCTGTGATTGGTCAGGTTCTGATGGAGCTCAGGTAAAATGGAACACAGTTTGGCCTCTACCAATAGGGCGTCAAAGGAGCCAGTGGAAAGGCCCTGCCTTCCTGCTTCGGCATGGACGCCTAAAATGGAGGGGGGCCTGGTGCGCTAACTCCTGGCTAGAGCTCAGCGCCTGCTGCGAGGCGGGAGCTGGGCCCAGGCGATTTTCTTCTGTTCGTCTACCTGCCTGCGCAGTCGGCATGAAAAACGGGGCTAGTGGATGAGCTGCCTACGGGAGAGACTATGGCTTCAGAGTAATAAGAAAAATGCCTTCTATTTCTATTGTCAATGCTGTATTTGGAAATACTCAATTACTAAAGCATTCTTCGGAATGTGGCTCATGTAAGTATACACGTGTACCTATGCTCTGCACGTGTATTAAAACAGCAAGGCACATGCTAAAGTGTTAATTGTGGTTGGCCAAAGGAACGGGAAGTACTAACAACAGAGGACTGTTACTTTATATATGTTTGTTCAACTTCCAAAAAGTTTACTGCAACGGGTGTAATTAAAGTCAACACAAAATATTTTAGAGATAAAAAGTTAATTTTTAAAACAAAAAGCTTTACATACCATGGCTAGTATAATACTTTCAAGTGAATTTTGTTAAATATCTTTGCCAGTTCAAAGATGTTCCCTTGCTTGGCTGTAAAATTAAGTGAAGTTAAACTTCTTTTCAAATTCTGAAAATGAAGCACTAAGTATCTTCCTACATCTCAGAAAGGGACCAGTAAGAATGTTCTGCAGAGCAGAAGCAGCTGTTGCGTGGAAGCAGAAATGCACCTCGGGCTTGCTCGCCCGGGTGTGCACTTAGTCTGCGGACAGGCTCTTCGGACCGCTGCGGGCCAAGCCGCAGCACGGCGAGCTCCGCGGAACTTGCGAGTGCGAGCGCGGCTTGGCGAAGGTGCAGGCCGGGACCGGGACAGCAGCGCCGCGCATCCCGGGGCGGGGCGGAGCGGGGCGGGGCGCGGCTGG